AAAACGCTCAAAAATGTGCTTCAAAACACGCTATAATGCTCAAAAATGTGTGAATTAAACATTTCAATGCATTTCCATGAAACAAAAAATGCACCAATCTGCCAGATTCAAGCTACAAAATAAAGCTCCAGATCTTTTTCGGACTTCAGACGTTTGGCTTCAGATGACTTTAATAGAGATATGAACCATCTCCACAGAGAATAATTGATTTTTTTCTCCTCCAGTGTTTTGGACCTTCGAGCTTCAAGCTACAAAGCATTCACATGTGAATAGGACCTTAGTGTTGGAAACTAAAATTGTGAATAATCTCAACCTCTTACTCCCTGTCCACACATTGAGAGGTGGGGAATGGGAATATAAAGACTCATGTGACAGGAGGATGCAGTCCCATCTTGAAACAACAGAGACACATTTGCTTGCTGCAAAAATTAATAAACGTCCAAAGTAAATCCAGTGAACTTTCAGCCCTTCACGCGGTTCTCTGGGCAGTGTGAGAACTCTGCCGATTGATATTACTCGCTGTGTACAGTTACTTTTTCAGCTTATTTTCTTTATAATGTAAGAACTTCAGGTGACCTTACTCTTCACCTTGGCGCAACCCGGACTCACAAACACCCAAAGAAAACATACAGCGGGCGAAGCGTTATAATCACACGGAGAAGAGTGTCTCTTCCAGAGGGGAAAACACGGAACGGTCGGGGCCTCTCTGGAAAATATGCGGCCATTTCCCTCCCCGCAGGGCCAGATAATGAAGTGTCTGTGTGCGGCTATTACAAGGCCTTTCAGCTGCATCTGAAGGCAGCCTGAGGGAAGAGCGGAGACCGGGACTGCACCCCCCCCCCCCCCCCCCCCCCCCCCCCCGCATACCTTATACATGTGAAAATGTGGACATTACACATAATGCTGCTTCACAAGACAAAGTGTAAGTCTGGAAACCACCTTTGTCTTGTCAAGCCTGAAAATACATATTTAGTACATATGTATGTATCAGGGATGTAGCCAGACCCTGGCACGCCGTGCATGTGCACAGGTCTTTGTCTGAGTGCCCTGGGTCTTCTGAGAGCTCCAGGTCTTTGTCTGAGTGCCCTGGGTCTTCTGAGAGCTCCAGGTCTTCTTCTGAGTGCCCTGGGTCTTCTGAGAGCTCCAGGTCTTCTTCTGAGTGCCCTGGGTCTTCTGAGAGCTCCAGGTCTTCATCTGAGTGCCCTGGGTCTTCTGAGAGCTCCAGGTCTTCATCTGAGTGCCCTGGATCTTCTGAGAGCTCCAGGTCTTCATCTGAGTGCCCTGGGTCTTCTGAGAGCTCCAGGTCTTCATCTGAGTGCCCTGGGTCTTCTGAGAGCTCCAGGTCTTCATCTGAGTGCCCTGGGTCTTCTGAGAGCTCCAGGTCTTCATCTGAGTGCCCTGGGTCTTCTGAGAGCTCCAGGTCTTGATCTGAGTGCCCTGGGTCTTCTGAGAGCTCCAGGTCTTGATCTGAGTGCCCTGGGTCTTCTGAGAGCTCCAGGTCTTCATCTGAGTGCCCTGGGTCTTCTGAGAGCTCCAGGTCTTCATCTGAGTGCCCTGGGTCTTCTGAGAGCTCCTGGTCTTCTTCTGAGTGCCCTAGGTCTTCTGAGAGCTCCAGGTCTTCATCTAAGTGCCCTGGGTCTTTTTCTGAGAGCTCCAGGTCTTCATCTGAGTGCCCTGGGTCTTTTTCTGAGAGCTCAGGCTCTTTGTTTGAGTGCCCAAGGTCTTCTCCTGGGTGCCCTGGGTCTTCTTCTGAGAGCTTTGGCTCTTTGTTTGAGTGCCACATGTCTTCATATGGGTTCCCTTGGTCTTCCTCTGTGAGCTCCGAGTCTTTGAGTGCCCTGAGTTTTCTGTTGAGTGCACCAGGTCTTCTTCTGAGTGCCCCAAATATCCTTTTGAGTGTCCCTGGGTTTTCTTCTGAGAGCTCTGTGTCTTCTGCATGCCCTGGATCTCCATCTGAGTACCCTGGATCTCTTTTTGAGTGCCTCAGGCCTTCACCTGAGTGGCCCATGTCCTCTTTTGAGTGCCTCAGGTCTTCTGCAAAGTGCCCCAGATCTTCTAGATCTTCTTCCGAGTGCCCTGAGTCTTCACCTGAGTTCCTGGGTATTCTGTTGAGTGCCCTAAGTGTTCATCTGAGTGCACCAGGTGTTTATGAGTGCCTCCAGTCTTCTTCTGAGTGCCCCGTTCTCGTTCTGAGTGTCCCAGGTCTTCTGAATGCCTTGGTTCTCCTTCTGAGTGCTCCAGATCTTCTTCTGAATGCCCTGGGCAGTCTTCTGAGTGCTCTGTGTCTTTATCTAAGCGCCCCAGGTTTTCTGTTGAGCCCCCCCAAATCTTCTTCTGCGTACCCTAGATCTTCTTCTGAGTACCTTGGTTCTCTTTCTGAGTGCCCCAGGTCTCCTTTGAAATGTATGTATCATACTGTTTGGAACATTGTATAATTTAATTTATTTTTGTTCAGTTAAAAATTTTATATTAGTATCTGTTTTTATCCAAAGTGGTCATCACGGTTTCCTACCAGCCCCTCCATTTTAAAGCTGCACCAATGGGGCACAATTCCTCTCGCTGACACCAATGGGGCACAATTCCTCTCGCTGACACCAACGATGGGGCACATTCTTCTTGCTGACACCAACAATGGGGCACAATTCCTCCTGCTGACACCAACAATGGGGCACAGTTCCTCCCTCTGACACCAACAATGGGCTACAATTCCTGCTACTTATACCAATGATGGGGCACGATTCCTCCCACTGACACCAATGATGAGTACTCAATTCCTTCCACTTATACCAATGATGGGGCATGATTCCATACAATGGGCTACAATTTCCTGACACCAATGATGGAGTACTATTCCTCCACTGACACATACAATTACAATCCACCAAAGATGGGACACAATTCCTCCCACTGACACCAATGATGGGCCACAATTCCTTCCACTTATACCAAAGATGGGGCACAATTCCTCCCACTGACACCAATAATGGCCCACAATTCCTCCCACTGACACCGATAATGGGGCACAAATTCCTCCCACTGACACCAATGCCCACAATTCCTCCCACTGACACCGATAATGGGGCACAATTCCTCCCCTGACACCAATAATGGCCCACCTCCCACTGACACCGATAATGGGGCCTTGTTTACTGCCACTGGACACCAGGACATTTTCTACTCCCATTGGCTCTAGTCCAGCCCCCCTAAAATCTGAAGGACAGTATACCAGCCCTTTGTTTGAAAAGTTTGGGGACTCCTCTCATATGGTAATAAATGCGAATGATGGGATGGATAAAGAGAAATAAAAGGACTGAGAACACCACCTCTGGTCCTGCATTGTATGTGATGACAAAGGAGTGCCCATCAACATTCTGCCACTGGAGAACAGAGGAAAGCACCACAGGTTGCATTGAAGGACCATGGAATAGGTTAAATAATCTCCTATTATAATCATCTCACTTTTTTTACATCCTTTGTTACATCTCAGTGCTGCTGATCTCCTACAATCTCTTTGCAGCTGCTTCATATGCTCCAGCAATGGCCACATGGCATTTCTCAGGGTGGGTTTCTGGTGAAAGCAGTGCATTATGTTTCCATTGGAAGTCTCTATGGCAGGAGCAGAACTGGAAGACAGACCTATATCATTTTAACAGCAAGTCCCTGAACTAGGACTTTCATGGCAGGACCACGGAGAGGAATTTTAAAGAAAACTGCAGATTTAATAATATTAAAACTTGACTTCTACGGGTGTATTTATAAAACATTTGTATAGCTTTTTATCCATCAAAGCTCAATAAAAATTTGTTTTGTACAAGTTGGGCAAAATTGAATGTTTTCAGGCTGTATCTCTGCCGGTGATATATGTGGATGAGATAAATACTGCATCATGGCCACTAGATGGAGCTGATGGGCATTAATATTTCTTCTGATACTCAGCGCCATCTAGTGGCCATAATGCAGTGCAGTATTTTCCTCCATCACACCTTCAACCTGCATAGAATATAGCCTAAGAACATTCGATTTTGTCCCATTCTCACAGAATGAATCTACATACCGCTTCGATGGTCAGCTGTGCAAAATTTTTAAAAATACATCCCTTAAAATTATATTTACATATTAAAGCTTATTTTTAACATTGGGATGAGACCAGCTTGTATATAATAATTCTTATTGTTAAAGAGTGGAGGTGCTGTCTGAGCACTTTGTTGCATACCTGTAAAATGAAGAGACCGTAAAAATACAAAAAACTATTAGGGCTCGTTTACATTACCCTGTTGTGATATTCCTACTGCTCTGTTGTGCCATCGATTGTGAATGGCACCCCAATGCACTGCAGTGCGCCGCAACACAATAGTGCATTGGGGTACATTACAAAAAAAAAGGTCATGTCTGATTTTCAGCATGCTAGGGTGCATTGGCAGCCCATTCGTTCCTATGGGCTGGCTTAACACAATGCACATTAATGCACAGCATAGCAGGCAAAGAAAATAAATGAACCCACAAAGTATTACCGAAAGTAACATTTTTTTTAGAGGATTTTATTTTTTTTTTTGCTTTTTTCTATGTTTAATCTTTATTTTATTAATTTTCACATGTTGAATAACATATATTTAAAAACAAAAATACATTTAAAAAAGCTATTATAAACTTGGTGCATCATCATATTACTGTGGGTTACACAAATTAGTTACAGCATAACAGTTATCTGTTTTTTTACATTCAGGATCAATAAGGTTCATCAAAAAATTTACTTCAAATGCTTGGTTGGATATAAAACCGAAAACCACACTCGAAAACTACCTGGCCTCATTGGGCGAGACACCACTTCGAAAAAAAAAGAAGATAATAAGATCCCCATCCCCAAGCAGTTTTCACATGGCATGAAAAAAAAACTCTTTAGCAATAACCCTATATTGCCAAAAGTATTGGTCCCTCCCTCCAAATCATGTGATTCAGGTGTTCCAATCCCCTCCATGACCACAGGTGTATACAATTATTACCTAGGCATGTAGACTGCTTCTACAAACATTGGTGAAAGAATGGGTCGCTCTCAGGAGCTCAGTGACTCCAAGCGTGGTCCCGTGATAGGTTGTCACCTGTGCAATAAGTCCATCCGTGACATTTCCTGGCTACTAAATATTCCACGCTCAACTGTTAGTGGGATTATAACAAAGTGGAAGCAACTGGGAACAACAGCAACTCAGCCACCAAGTGGTAGGCCACGTAACATGACAGAATGGGGTCAGCGCATGCTGAAGCGCACGGTGCGCAGAAGTCACCAACTGTCTGCACAGTCAATAGCTAAAGACCTCCAAACTTGGTGTGGCCTTCACATTAGCACAACAACAGTAAATAGAAAGCTTCATGGAATGGGTTTCCATGGCCAAGCAGCTGCGTCCAAGCCTTACATCACCAAGTGCAATGCAAGACATCGGATGCTGTAGTGTAAAGCACGCCACCACTGGACTCTAGAGCAGTGGAGACTGGGTGGGTTTGCAGGTTGCCAGGAGCACGGTACTTGCCTGACTGCATTGTGCCAAGTGTAAAGTTTGGTGGAGGGGGGATTATGGTGTGGGGTTGTTGTTAAGGGGTTGGGCTTGGCCCCCTAGTTCCAGTGAAGGGAACTCTTAAGGCATCAGCATACCAAGACATTTTGGACAATTTCATGCTCCCAACTTTGTGGGAAGAGTTTGGGGATGGTCCCTTCCTGTTCCAACATGACTGCACACCAGTGCACAAAGCAAGGTCCATAAAGACATGGAGGAGCCAGTTTGGGGTGGAGGAACTTGACTGTCCTGACCTCAACCCCATAGAACACCTTTGGGATGAATTAGAGTGGAGAATGCGAGCCAGGCCTCCTCCCCCGACATCAGTGCCTGACCTCACAAATGTGCTTCTGGAAGAATGGTCCAACCTTCCCATAGACACCCTCCTAAACCTTGTGGACGGCCTTCCCAGAAGAGTTGAAGCTGTTATAGCTGCAAAGGGCGGGGCCAACTCAATATTGAACCCTACGGACTAAGACTGGGAGGCCATTACAGTTCATGTGCGTGGAAAGGCAGACCGACCAATACTTTTGGCATTATAGTGTATATCTCCACTAACCAGGCCATAGAGCCGTAGGCCCTCACCAACAATGGCTATAATTAAAACATATTATTAGTAAACACTGGAACATGTATTCTTATAAATCATATAACCCCTCCCTCCTAGATTGTAAGCTCCCAGGATCAGGGCCCTCCTATCCCTCTTGTATTGAACTGTATTGTTGCTGTATTGTCTCCCTTATATTGTAAAGCGCTGAGCAAACTGTTGGTGCTATATAAAGTGGGGATCGAAAGTTTGGGCACCCCAGCTAAAAATTTGTATTCATGTGCATAAAGAAGCCAAGGAAAGATGGAAAAATCTCCAAAAGGCATCAAATTACAGATTAGACATTCTAATAATATGTCAACAAAAGTTAGATTTTATTTCCATCATTTACACTTTTAAAATAACAGAAAACAAAAAAATGGCGTTTGCAAAAGTTTGGGCACCCTGCAGAATTTATAGCATGCACTGCCCCCTTTGCAAAGCTGAGACCTGCCAGTGTCATGGATTGTTCTCAATCATCGTCTGGGAAGACCAGGTGATGTCAAGCTCAAAGGTTTTAAATGCCCAGACTCATCTGACCTTGCCCCAACAATCAGCACCATGGGTTCTTCTAAGCAGTTGTCTAGAAAACTGAAACTGAAAATAGTTGACGCTCACAAAGCTGGAGAAGGCTATATGAAGATAGCAAAGAGTTTTCAGATGTCAATATCCTCTGTTCGGAATGTAATTAAGAAATGGCAGTCATCAGGAACAGTGGAAGTTAAAGCAAGATCTGGAAGACCAAGAAAAATATCAGACAGAACAGCTCGCAGGATTGTGAGAAAAACAATTCAAAACCCACGTTTGACTGCACGATCCCTCCAGAAAGATCTGGCAGACACTGGAGCTGTGGTACACTATTCCACTATAAAGAGATACTTGTACAAATATGGTCTTCATGGAAGAGTCAGCAGAAGAAAACCTCTTCTACGTCCTCACCACAAAAATCATCGTTTAAACTTTGCAAATGAACATATAGACAAGCCTGATGCATTTTGGAAACAAGTTCTGTGGACCGATGAGGTTAAAATTGAACTTTTTGGCCGGAATGAGCAAAGGTACGTTTGGAGAAGAAGGGGCACAGAATTTAATGAAAAGAACCTCTGTCCAACTGTTAAGCATGGGGTTGGATCAATCATGCTTTGGGGTTGTGTTGCAGCCAGTGGCACAGGGAACATCTCACGGGTAGAAGGAAAAATGGATTCAATAAAGTTTCAGCAGATTTTGGATGGTAACTTGATGCCATCTGTGAAAAAGCTGAAGTTAAAGAGAGGATGGCTTCTACAAATGGATAATGATCCTAAACACACCTCGAAATTACATCAAGAGGCGTAAACTGAAGTTTTGCCATGGCCTTCACAATCTCCTGACCTCAACATAATTGAAAATCTCACCAAATAAATCTTTCAGTAAACTTGATTTACCCTCTAATAAATATTAGTGTATACAAATAAAGTCCAAAACCAAAAAATCAAAAAAAAAAATAAAAAATATATAAATCAAAAAACCAAAGTCCAAAATAAAGTCCCAAAAATATTACTTCATAGAAAAAACAATCTTTATCTGTAATTTCTCAGTTCTTCATATCTTCAAACCTTCTTTGTGATATACTTCAAACCAAATCTTCATATACCTCAAAGAAAAAAACTCAACATGTGTATTATCTCAAAAAGAGGGGTATATAAAACGTGCCACACGTGTGTTTCATGCAAACACAAATGACGTGCCACCGCAACCGTGAAGAGAAATTCCTCTGCCTTAGGAATCAATCCACTGCATACCAATAAAGGAAGTGCATAATTACCCTCAGAATAGTATCAAGGGTCTGAGTACTTATTTCCAACCTTTTATATTCCTTCGCCTTTCCAGCCACTTCCCACAGACCTCATAAACAGACCAGGGATCAGTATGTGTCATAAAAACTCATAGCATTTTATTATAGCAACTTACATTCAAATAAGATGAAATCAGCTTCCACACCAAAACGATTTATCCACAATCCTGCCTCTCCTCAAAAGTGTGTAGGTATCCACACCATCCCACTCCCGAGGGGGAACAGATCGCCTATGGTAGGTTTCCAATACCTCAAAACCCCATGAGGATTCCAGGAAGGCACAACCGCGTGTACCAGGATCAAAGATGGCCGCCACCGCACTTCCGGAAGAGCATCACTACGTCACCACGTCACGTGCCCCGGACGCGTTTCGTCACATCCGGACTTTGTCAACAGGGACAGGATTGTGGATAAATCGTTTTGGTGTGGAAGCTGATTTCATCTTATTTGAATGTAAGTTGCTATAATAAAATGCTATGAGTTTTTATGACACATACTGATCCCTGGTCTGTTTATGAGATCTGTGGGAAGTGGCTGGAAAGGCTGAAGGAATATAAAAGGTTGGAAATAAGTACTCAGACCCTTGATACTATTCTGAGGGTAATTATGCACTTCCTTTATTGGTATGCAGTGGATTGATTCCTAAGGCAGAGGGATTTCTCTTCACGGTTGCGGTGGCACGTCATTTTTGTTTGCATGAAACACGTGTGGCACGTTTTATATACCCCTCTTTTTGAGATAATACACATGTTGAGTTTTTTTCTTTGAGGTATATGAAGATTTGGTTTGAAGTATATCACAAAGAAGGTTTGAAGATATGAAGAACTGAGAAATTACAGATAAAGATTGTTTTTCTATGAAGTAATATTTTTGGGACTTTATTTTGGACTTTGGTTTTTTGATTTATATTTTTTTTTTTTTTTTTTTTTGGTTTTGGACTTTATTTGTATACACTAATATTTATTAGAGGGTAAATCAAGTTTACTGAAAGATTTATTTGGTGATATTTGTACTTCAGGGGGAAGGATTGTGAATGTGACTTGGTGGGGTATCCTACTTTAAGAAGGATAGTGCTATAAGTAGAACGATTTTGTCCCTGTTGACAAAGTCCGGATGTGACGAAACGCGTCCGGGGCACGTGACGTGGTGACGTAGTGACGCTCTTCCGGAAGTGCGGGTGGCGGCCATCTTTGATCCTGGTACACGCGGTTGTGCCTTCCTGGAATCCTCATGGGGTTTTGAGGTATTGGAAACCTACCATAGGCGATCTGTTCCCCCTCGGGAGTGGGATGGTGTAGATACCTACACACTTTTGAGGAGAGGCAGGATTGTGGATAAATCGTTTTGGTGTGGAAGCTGATTTCATCTTATTTGAATGTAAGTTGCTATAATAAAATGCTATGAGTTTTTTTGATTTTTTTGATTTTTTGGTTTTGGACTTTATTTGTATACACTAATATTTATTAGAGGGTAAATCAAGTTTACTGAAAGATTTATTTGGTGATATTTGTACTTCAGGGAAGGATTGTGAAAGTGACTTGGTGGGGTATCCTACTTTAAGAAGGATAGTGCTATAAGTAGAATAAAAATTGAAAATCTATGGATAGACCTTAAAAGAGCAGTGCGTGACAGACAGCCCAGAAATCTCAAAGAACTGGAAGACTTTTGTAAGGAAGAATGGGCAAAGATACCTCAAACAAGAATTGAAAGACTCTTGGCTGGCTACAAAAAGCGTTTACAAGCTGTGATACTTGCCAAAGGGGGCAGTACAAGATATTAACTCTGCAGGGTGCCCAAACTTTTGCAGACACCATTTTTTTGTTTTCTGTTATTTTGAAAGTGTAAATGATGGAAATAAAATCTAACTTTTGTTGACATATTATAAGAATGTCTAATCTGTAATTCGATGCCTTTTGGAGATTTTTTCCATCTTTCCTTGGCTTCTTTATGCACATTAATACAAATTTTTAGCTGGGGTGCCCAAACTTACGATCCCCACTGTAAATCCTGTATAATAATAATAATATATAAATCCTGTATAATAATAATAATAATAATATATAAATCCTGTATAATAATAATAATATATAAATCCTGTATAATAATAATAATAATAATAATATAAATCCTGTATAATAATATATAAATCCTGTATAATAATAATAATAATAATATAAATCCTGTATAATAATATATAAATCCTGTATAATAATAATAATATATAAATCCTGTATAATAATAATAATAATAATAATATATAAATCCTGTATAATAATATATAAATCCTGTATAATAATAATAATAATATATAAATCCTGTATAATAATAATATATAAATCCTGTATAATAATAATAATAATATATAAATCCTGTATAATAATATATAAATCCTGTATAATAATAATAATAATATATAAATCCTGTATAATAATAATAATAATATATAAATCCTGTATAATAATAATATATAAATCCTGTATAATAATAATAATATATAAATCCTGTATAAATAATAATAATATATATAAATCCTATATTATAATAATAATAATAATAATAATAATATATAAATCCTGTATA